CGGCATCGTGGGACGCCCGGTGCCGCCTAAACTGGGAGCTCAGCGAGGATCAGCCGATGGAGCTGCACTTTCTACTCGTGCGTCTGTGCGGCGGGCGGCTGAGAGGCGAGTCTTCGGCTAACAAGAGAGGCGAGAAGCGGCGCGGGTACGAGTGGGCAGCGGCGACAGCAGAAATCCCCGTGAAGAGCTGTGATCGAAAACGATACATGTTTCTCTCTAGCGCGGGAGCTAAGGCGGGGCGGGGGAGACCGCGACGCCTTAAGTAGCCAGACAGCTGCCTGATGTCACCAGTGGAAGGAGGAGCTACAATGTTCGCCAGCCAATCGCTGAAGATCTCCCCACTCGCTTCCACTGGATCGGCACCTGGACCCTGACTCACAATCCCATGCAGCAAGTCTGCACTTCACGCCAGGGCTGCAGTCCTCGCGGGCGCACTGGACTTTGGGAAATGTAGTAGGGGGGGCGGGGTCTCACGGGCCCCTGCCCTTTTCCCCAAGGCCTTCCTGCCCGCTCGCCTAGAGAGCTGTGACCCCGCCCCTTCCCGGAGCCGCCCGCCTTGGAATGGAGAGGGCTGGCCGGCTCTGAGCCACGCGGCGGGAATGCAGATGACCGGCGCGGCCTCCAACCCTGAGCTGCGCCGTCCGCCCGTGCCCCACTTCTTTCAGTCTGCTTTGCCCTTTCCCCCGCTGCCCAAACACAACCTTACCCCTCCTTGGGAACTTTTCCATAGCTGCAGTTGTTGGATTAGTGTGGCGATCATCAGTACCTATAATCTAAAAGTGTTTGGGGGCCTTGTTGTCCACAGTCTTCCCCCAAAAGTGTGCTTTTATCTACTTCAGTTGTGTCTTTCGTGTAGGGCTTGTATTCTAGACCAGGAGACACCTGGCATATCTCAAATTCAGTGTCACAGATTGTACCCAAGGATGCGTCCTTGACAATCGTACCTGGGATAAGAGTTTGAGAACTTGACAGCTGGTTAAACAAACACGAGCTATAAATATCACTAATTGCAGCAGGTTTGGTTTTGTTTCTCAAGGTGCTTCTAGATCTCTTGTCTTCCTTGTTCCATTTGTACTATATTTTGGGCCTGTAATTAAGTTTGCATTCTATGCTTATGACAGACCACACTCAAGGACTCACCTCAGCGTAGGTGACTCATTCTCTACTCCACCTGTCACCTGAGCTTCGGCCTCTCATTTCTTCCATTCCACCTGACTGTCGCACTTGCAGCTCCGTCTAACATCTGAAAGGTCCAGGACTTCCCTCCTCCCCTGTGCCCCTTCTGCTGTAGTCCTGTGTGTCACATTTCAACGTCACATTCACACATGGTTCCTCTTTCTTTTCCAAAACTGAAATCCACGGCCTGTTCACCAGTGACACACACAGCCTCAGTCTTTCTGCCCACGCTTCGTACCCAGTGATACTTCAGGATTTACTCAAACCTTGCACTTGCGAGGTAAGTGGCGGCACCCGGAGCTAAATCCCTGGCCCTATCCTCTGCTTTAATATTTGTTAATTCTGTGGTTCCCAGGTAGTGATATACTAATTACCAACCCCACTGGCTTGACCCTGACCACTTTCTGGTCTCTTCTTTCACTGTTTCCCTTTGCGTCTTATTCTTCAGCTAAATAGGGCTGCTGTCCATTTCCACTACACAGCTCTGCTCTCCCATTCCCATTTCTTTCTTTTTTTGGTACTGGGGATCAAACTCGGGTCCTTGTGCTTGTGAGGCAGGCAGTGGAACCACTGAGCTAAATCCCCAGCCCTCTGAGACATACTTCCATATAAGTATCATACATATATATATAACCTCCACATCAATGCAAATATAACCATATGCCTCATGTGACAGTGGTTTTCCACTAAATATACTGTTTGGGACCATGCTTGAAGGAACTACAAGACTCCTGACATTGAGCCAACAAATAATTACAAATGCAGGAAGAAAGGGGAAGTACAAGGAGGAACAGGACAAGGGGGCTTTGTCCTAGGCAGCTTCGCCTTCTGTTCAGGAAAGCACATCCTCCCAGGGGCTTCTGCCCCATCTGTTTAGCCAAGATCAAGACCTGTGACGATCCCTGGCTGAGGGCAGGCTAGAAGTCAGGGATATGTAGTTGGGTATATTGGCAATAAAATCTGAAAGGGAAATCATGTATATAAGGGAGACAACCAGCAATATCTGCTCTGAAATTTGGAGGGGAAGATCTATGCGCTAACAAAAAAAAATGACACGTTTGTTACCAACTTGACATGGTGTGCTACCTCAAACCACTTAGTATTCTATAAGATGTATCCTCCTATAAAACAATTTAGGGCTGGGCATGGTGGCACACGCCTATAATCCCAGCACTCGGGAGGCTGAGGCAGGAGGATCACTGTGAGTTTGAGACCAGCCTGGGCTACATAGTGAGTTCCAGATCAGTCTCAACTACATAGTGAGACCCTGTCTCAAAAAACCAAAACACACACACACACACACACACACACACACACACACACAC